CCGCTATCTTGCTTAGTCGTCCCTCCCTTGCTGAATCCCCCCTTCTTTGTTGGATCAAACCTGCCTTACTGAATACCCCCAACCTTGCTGAATTCTCCATACCTTGGTGAATCCCCCCGACCTTGCTTAATCACTCCTACCTTGCACAATTCTCCCTATCTTGCTGAATCATCCCTACCTTTCTTAATCACCCCTGCCTTGCATAATCACCCCTACTTTGCTGAATCACCCCTGCCTTGCTTTATCACCCCTGCCTTGATTAATCACCCCGACCTTGCAGAATTCCCACCCCCTTGCTGAATTCCCTCTACCCTGCTTAATCACTCATTCCTTGCTTAATCAACCCTATCTTGCTGAATTCCCCCTCCCATCCTGAATCCCCCCTACCTCGCTGAATCTCCCCTACCTTGCTGAGTTCTCTTTATCTTGCTGAATTCCCCCTCCCTTTCTGAATCACCCCTACCTTGCTGAATCCCCCCTCCCTTGTTGAATCAACCCTACCTTGCTGAATCCCCCCTACCTTAATGAATTCTCCCTATCTTGCTGAGTCCAACCTACCTTGCTAAATAACCCTTACCTTGCTGAATTCTCCCTATCTTACTGAATCATGCCTACCTTTATTAATCACCCCTACCTTGCTTAATCACCCTTTCCTTGCTTAATCACCCCAGCCTTTCTCAATCTCCCCTATCTTGCTGAATCCCCCCTCCCTTGTTTAATCACCCCTATCTTCTACCTATCTTGCTGAATTCTCCCTGTCTTGCTGAATTATCCCTTCCTTTCTTAATCACCACTACATTGCTTAATCACCCCTTTATTGCTAAATCACCCCTACTTTGCTGAATCAACCCTACCTTGCCAAATCACCCCTACGTTGCTGCATTCCGACCCCCTTGCTGAATTCCCTCTTCCTTGCTTAATCACCTCTAAATTGCTCCATTCCCCCTATCTTGCTGAATCTCCTCCCCTACGTTGCGGAATCACCACTACGTTGCTTAATGAACCCTTCCTTGCTGGATCACCCCTACCTTGCTTAATCACCCCTACCTTGCAGAAATACCACTACCTTGCTGAATTCCCCTTCCCTTGTTTAATCAGTCCCACCTTGCCTAATGACCCATACCTTTATTAATCACCCCTACATTGCATTATCACCCGAAAATTGCAGAATTCCCCATATCTTGCTGAATCTCCCCTACCTTGCTGAGTTCTCTTTTTCTTTCTGAATCCCCCCTCCCTTGCTGAATAACACCTACCTTGCTTAATCAACCCTTCCTTGCTGAATTCCCCCATTCTTGCTTAATCACCCCTACCTTGCTCAATCACCCCAAACATATTTATCACCGCTATCTTGCTTAGTCGTCCCTCCCTTGCTGAATCCTCCCTTGCTGAATCCCCCCTTCTTTGTTGGATCAAACCTACCTTACTGAATACCCCCAACCTTGCTGAATTCTCCATACCTTGGTGAATCCCCCCGACCTTGCTTAATCACCCCTACCTTGCACAATTCTCCCTATCTTGCTGAATCATCCCTACCTTTCTTAATCACCCCTACCTTGCATAATCACCCCTACCTTGCTGAATCACCCCTGCCTTGCTTTATCACCCCTGCCTTGATTAATCACCCCGACCTTGCAGAATTCCCACCCCCTTGCTGAATTCCCTCTACCCTGCTTAATCACTCATTCCTTGCTTAATCAACCCTATCTTGCTGAATTCCCACTACCTTGCTGAATCCTCCCTCCCATCCTGAATCCCCCCTACCTCGCTGAATCTCCCCCTACCTTGCTGAGTTCTCTTTATCTTGCTGAATCCCCCCTCGCTTTCTGAATCACCCCTGCCTAAATAAATCATCCCTACCTTGCTGAATCCCACCTTCCTTGTTGGATCAACCCTACCTTGCTGAATCTCCCCTACCTTGCTGAATTCTCCCTATCTTGCTGAATTCAACCTACCTTGCTAAATAATCCCTACCTTGCTGAATTCCCCATATCTTGCTGAATCATGCCTACCTTTCTTAAACACCCCTACGTTGCTTAATCACCCTTTTCTTGCTTAATCACCCCTATCTTGCTGAATCCCCCCTCCCTTGCTTAATCACCCATATCTTCTACCTATCTTGCTGAATTCTCACCCTCTTGCTAAGTCACCCCTACCATGCTTAATCATCCCTACCTTTCTAAATAGCCTCTTCCTCTCTTAATCATCTCTACCTTAATTAGCCATCCCTAGGATGCTTAATCATCCCTACCTTGCTGAATCCCCTCCATCTTGCTGAATCTTCCCTACCTTGCTTAATTTCGCCTACCTTTCTGAATTCCCACAACCTTGCTGGATTTCCCCTTCCTTGTTTAAGCACTCTTATCTTGCTTTGTCTCCCATTCCTTGATAAATAACCCCTAATAATCATCCCTACCTTGCTAAATTTCCCCTCTCTTGTTGAATCCTCCCTACCTTGCATAATTTCAACTACCTTGCTTAATCACCCCTACCTTTCTCAATCACCCCTACCTTGTTTAATCACTCCTACCTTGCTTGATCACCCCTACCTTGCTAAATCACCCTTTTTTTGCTTAATCACTCCTACGTTGCTTAATCACTCCTACCTTGCATAATCACCCCTACCTTGCTGAATTCCCACTACCTTTCTTAATCACCCATACCTTGCTGAATCCCCCTTCCCTTGCTGAATCCCCCCTTCCTTGCTTAATCACACCTACCTTCTCCCTATCTTGCTGAATTCCCACCCTGTTGCTTAATTACCCCTACCTTGATTAAACATCCCTATGATGCTTAATCATCCCTACCTTGCTGAATCTCCCCTACCTTGTTGACTTCTCCCAAACTTGATGAATCTCCCCTTCCTTTCTTAACTACCCCTACCTTATTTTATCAACCCTACCTTGCTTAATCACCCCTACCTGGCTTAATCACCCCTACCTTTCTGAGTCAACCCTACTTTGCTTAATCACCCCTTCCTTGCTCAATTCTCCCTATCTTGATGAATCCCCCCAACCTTGCGGAATTCTCCCTATGTGGCTGAATAATCCCTACCTTTCTCAATCACCCCAATGTTGATTAATCACCCCTACCTTGCTGAATTTCAACCACCTTGCTGCATTGCCTCTACCTTGCATTATCACCCCTGCCTTGAATTATCACCCCTACCTTGCTTCATCACCCCTACCTTGCTGAATCACCCCTACCTTGCTTAATCACCCCTACTTTGCTGAATTCCCACCCTTTGGAAGAATTCCCTCCACCTTGCTTTATCACCCCTACCATAATTAATCAACCCTACCTTCCTTAATCACCCCTACCTTGCAAAATCACCCCCTCCTTGCTGAATCCCCCCTACCTTGCTGACTTCTCCCTATCTAGCTGAATCATCCTACCTTTCTTAATCACCCCTAACTTGCTCAATCACCCCTACCATGCTTAATCACCCCTACCTTGCTGAATTGCCTCTACCTTGCTTAATAACCCTTTATTGATTTGTCACCCCTACCTAGCTTGATCACCCCTATCTTGATTTATCACAACTACATTGTATTATCACCCCTACCTTGCTGAATTCTCCCTTACCTGCTGAATTCCCCCTACCTTGCTTTATCACCCCTAACTTGCTGAATTCTCCCAATCATGTTGAATCATCCATACCTTTCTTAATCACCCCTACCTTGCTGCGTTCTCCCTATCTTGCTGAATCCCCCCTCCCTTTCTGAATCATCCCTACCTTGAAAATCAACCCTACCTTGCTGATTCTTCTTCCTTGTTGAATCTCGCTGAATCTCCCCTACCATGCTGAGATCTCTTCATCTTTCTGAATCCCCCCTCCCTTTCTGAATCTCCCCTACCTTTATCAATCATCCCTACCTTGCTGAATTTCCACTATGATGCTTAGTCAACCCTACCTTGCTGAATCCGCCTTACCTTGCTGGATTCTCCCAATCTTGCTGAATCCCCCCTACCTTGCTTAATCACCCCTAACTTGCTGAATTCTCCCTATCGTGCTGAATCATCCATACCTTTCTTAATCACCCCTACCTTGCTGCGTTCTCCCTATCTTGCTGAATCCCCCCTCCCTTTCTGAATCATCCCTACCTTGAAAATCAACCCTACCTTGCTGATTCTTCTTCCTTGTTGAATCTCGCTGAATCTCCCCTACCGTGCTGAGTTCTCTTCATCTTGCTGAATCCCCCCTCCCTTTCTGAATCTCCCCTACCTTTAGTAATCTTTCCTACCTTGCTGAATTTCCACTACGATGCTTAGTCAACCCTGCCTTGCTTAATCACCCCTACCTTGCTCAATTCTCCCTATCTTGCTGAATCATCCCTACCTTTCTAAATCACCCCTATCTTGATTCATCTCCCCTACCTTTCTATATCACCTTTATCTTGCTGAATTCCCACCCCCTTGCTGAATTCCCTTTACCTTGCTTAATCACCCCTTCCTTGCTATCTTGCTGAATTCCCACTACCTTGCTTACTCACCCTTGCTTTGCTGAAGTACCACCCTTTTGCTGAATTTCGTCTACCTTGCTTAATATCCCCTACATTGATTTGTCATCCCTATGGAGCTTAATCATCCCTTCCTTGCTGAATCCCCCCCACCTTGCTGAATCATCCCTACCTTGCTGAATTCCCACAACCTTGCTGAATCCACCCTACCTTGTTTAAGCACTCCTACCTTGCTCAGTCTCGCATACTATTATCAAGAACCCCTATCTAGCATTATTCACCCCTACCTTTCTGAATTCCCCCTCTCTTGCTGAATCCCCCCTACCTTGCTGAATTTTCCCTATCTTGTTGAATCTCCCCTACCTTGCTGAATTTCCAGTACCTTGATTAATCACCCCTACCTTGCTCAATCACCCCTACCTTGCTGAATCCCCCCTACCTTGCTGAATTCTCCCAATCTTGCTGAATCCCCGCTACCTTGCTTAATCACCCCTACCTTGCTCACTTATCCCTATCTTGCTGAATCATCCCTACCTTTCTCAATCACGCCTACCTTGATTAATCATACCTACCTTGCTTAATTACCCCTTGTTAGGATTAAGGACAGAGTCTAGGTGAACTTAGGAGCTAGAATTACTCAAAAGATAAATCCGAAATTCTGGACAGAAAAGTCGTCTTCACAAGAAACGACGTCGACAAAACACTAGCCGTTGGAATGTCGCGAAACTTGGATATGTTGTAGCTCTTGATCTCAGCTACCGTTCCCAATTTGAATCACGTTGATTGATGAAGTATTCGCGACGCTATGGCTTTCGACGCACTAGGGGGTAAGCTGTAGGAGGAGAACTTAACTCAATCTCAAGAGTTCAATCAAAGTTCAAGAATCTCACAAGGAATTAGAAGGAGCAAGAGAAAGGTTGGGATAGGAAGAGAGGGATGAGAGGGAAGGTCCCAAGAGAGTCCCCAACCAAGGAAACCCCATAAGCACAAAGATTCCCTCCCTATAGGAACCCCAACTTTGACATTTGTCCCTTCCCAACCAATCCATCCAAGTTGGCCACCCTTGCCAACCTAGCTTGGTTGTTCCCAACCAATTTGCAGCTGTTACAGTGAGTGACAAATTTCCCAAACCCCCAAAGGTCCCAACTCCATATAGAGTCACCCCACAACTTCACTTTGTAACCGCCGCAATTGTAACGCAAGCTCATGAACTTTGAATCTTCATAGCTTTCGCGTTCTTGCTCCGATTGAAGGGATTCTCGTTGCGTCGGAAAGATCTTCTCAAGATCTATCATCACAAAAAACCTGCTCAAACAAAATAACACAAAACACATTCCCAAACTCCAGAACACATCACACACAAATTCTTGCACACGTTCAAACCACACATGCAAGTTGAAAAAATATGGGATGGGAGGCAGACAGAATGTGATAGCATATGATGACATCACACAACAATCTCCCCCTCTGGCTGCCAACCATCATCCACCATACCAACATCTCAAGCATGCATACTCAATGCACACTCATCCCAGCAAGCTTCATGCCCTTCCAATGATCCGCCTCCGCCAGACGCTTGGTGAAAATATCTGCTGCCTGCTGATGGGTCTTCACTATCTCCAGCCGCACCTCCTTATCAAGGAGTCTCCTCACCCAATGCCACTTAGGCCTTATGTGTTTTGTCAGCCCATGCAGACAAGCATTCTTGGCGAGCTTCACAGCGGACTCATTGTCACAAAACACAACTGTCGGCTTCTCCTGACCAACTCCCAACTCCTCCAACAAACGCCTTAGCCACACTACTTCCTTGGCCCCATGGTGTAAGGCCATGTACTCAGTCTCACATGAGGACAATCCCACCTCATTCTGCTTCTTGCTGCGCCAGCTCACAGCACCACCTCCTAGCAAGCACACATAACCCCCAATGCTGGTGCCATCCGCTTTCACTGAGTTGAAGCTAGCGTCAGTATAGCAACTCAAGAGCATCTCTCCACTCTTCACATCTGCAGCACCTCTCTGCAACCGCTGCCTCACTCCACTGTACTCCAATCCCACTGATGCCGTAGCGCTCACATAGCGGACCAACCTCTTGGCCGCTTCCAGCTGCTCATGACTAGGGCGTGAGACCACACTAGCCAATCGTGATGTAGCAAATGCAATGTCAGGCCGTGTATGATTTGCAGCATAATTCAGCGACCCAACCATCGAATGAAACAGCTTCCTGTCACTATCACCCACTACCTCCTCATCAGCACATGGCTCCACAGTAAACCCTGAAGGTAGTGGTGTTGCTGGCTTTCCCCCATCTTGCAGCCCATACTTCTCAGCCAGCCCCTCACAGTACTTCCTCTGGTGCAACCTCAGCACACCCTTTTCCACATCTCTCTCCACGTGCATCCCCAAGTAGTACTTCACCTCACCCATCTTGGAGCACTTGAACTGCATCTCCAGCATCTGCTCTGCGCTGTCCAGCAAAGCAGTTGATGCAGAAAAGAGAAGGATATCATCCACATACACCAAGAGCATGAGGATTTCATCCTTCTCCTGCAGCAGGAACAGGCTGGGGTCACACTCACTCTTCTTGAAACCCCCAGCCAACAGCGCCTCCTCCAACTTGTGATACCATGCACGAGGCGCCTGCTTAAGGCCATAGATGGCCTTCTTCAGCCTGCAGACCCTGCCGCTCCCGTCATCCAGCCCCTCTGGCTGCTTCATGTACACCTCCTCCATAATGATCCCATTCAGAAAAGCAGTCACAATGTCCATCTGCCGTATCTTCCATCCCAGGAGTGCAGCTATCGCTAACAGCACCCTCAGTGTTGTTCCTTTCCCCACAGGAGCAAACACCTCATCATAGTCCTTCCCTTTTGTCTGCTGAAACCCCCGTGCCACAAGCCTAGACTTGTAGCGGGTCAGCTCCCCTTCAGGTCCATACTTGTGCCTGTAGATCATCTTGGAAGTGATTGCCTTCTTTCCAGGAGGCAAGTCACACAGGTCCCATGTCTCGTTCTCAATTAGGGACCCGAACTCCTCATCCTCACTCGCCTTCCACTTCTCCCCATTTGGTCCATTCAAGGCCTCTTCTCGAGTCTTGGGCTCAGGGATTGGTGCCCAGTAGCAGTGAGCGATCTCATCTTCCTCAATCTGCTCAACCACACTCCCAGCCTGCACCACATTTGGCTTGCCTCTTCCCCCATAGGTCAGCCTCACTGGAGGGCGCACATCCCTCCTAGGACGCTCAGGCGGGTGTGGAACTCGAGGTGGAGACTCATGCTGCTGCTGCTGCTGCTCTACTTCAGCTGCTCCCCCTTCCTCAGTCACCCCAGACATCTCCTCCTCTGACACTGCAACCTCCACCTGTCTTGAAGGGTGCTGCACCTCATCTGCCTCCACAATGAGCGGTGTAGATGGAAGCTTCTGTTGCTGCTGCTTCCATTCCTTGTAGTACAGGGACTCAAGAAACTTCACATCCCTTGACACTGTCAACTTCTGGGTGGTCAAGTCCCATAGCAGCCACCCCTTGTGATCCTTTGCAATCCCCAAGTGCACACCCCATCTTCCAGAAGCCTCCAACTTCCCCCTTTTCTCCTTAGGCACATGAAACACCACCATGCACCCAAATGCCCTCAGCATGTTCACAGTTGGAGCACTCCCATACCACTTGACATATGGGATCCACTCCTTATCTCCAACTGTAGCCAGCACCCTGTTCTTCACAAGGGCGACCTGCCTCAGTGCAGACACCCAAAACGGATCAGGCAGCCCTGCACGCCCAAGGAGAGTGCGTGCCCCCTCCTGCAGGGTCCTGTTGAACCTCTCAGCCACGCCATTCTGCTGCGGGTTGTAGGGCACTGTCAGTTGATGCTGGATCCCCTTCCTCTTCAACTCCCCCTCAAAATCAGCTCCAATGAACTCCCCACCATTGTCACTGCGGATCACCTTCACCTTGTATCCGCATTCCCTCTGAGCTCTAGGCATCCACTCCTTAAGGACAGCCGCTGCCACCTCCCCCTTGCTCTTCAAAGGGTAAACCCACACTGCCCGAGTGTGGTCATCCACAATTGTCAAGAAATAGCGGCTGCCTGAGAGGGAAGGGGCTCTTGTGGGCCCCACCACATCCATGTGCACAAGTGCAAGTGGGGTCTTGGCTGGTCCTGTAGTGCTGTTGAAGGGGAACTTGGAGAACTTGGTCTCCAAGCATGTAGGGCAGCTCCCAATCTCCTTCACTCCCCCTTTCACCTCCAAGCCCTTCAGGCTCCCATCCTTCACCAACTTCTGCAGCATAGGGAAGTTCACATGACACAGCCTCTCATGCCATGTCTCCCAATCGGCCTCTCCACTCCTTGATGAAGCCTTAGCCCATGCCGCACTCGCATCCACACCAGCAAGCACCTCACCATGTGTCTGCTGCTGCTGCACTTTCTTGACTGCTTCCAGGACCCCATCAGTTGGTGCAGTTGCATCTCCTCCTGCTGTTGCCTTTGCCGCTGCTGCCGTTGCTGCTGTTGGAGTCTTCCCATTCCATGGGATGATGGGCAGCTGCCACAGGTCCTTGATGCAGCTGGTCTCCTCTTCCAGACTCCACAGCACCTTCTTCCCAAGCTTAGCACGGCAGCTGGTTGGTCCAAAGGTCACTTCGGCCTTGCTCTTCTGCAGTCGTCGCACAGAGAGAAGGTTAGCAGACAAGCCTTCAACCAGCAGAACATTCCCAAGCCCCACAAGCTCCCCATTAGCTCCCTTAACCTTGGCATTTCCAACACCAATGACAGGGAGCAAAGCACCTGACGCTGCTGCCACATACTTGATCTTCCCAGGGGGTTTTACCTCATCAAGCAAATCTGCCCGTGGGGTCATGTGACTGGTGCAACCTGAATCAATCACCCAGTGCGTGAGAGGGTGCATCACAACCTTTCCCACAGATCCCACATCACCCTCATGCCCATGCACATCCTCAACCATGAGATACATCCCAGGATAGGCGTTACCTTGTGCACCTTCACCTTGTGCACCTGAGCCTTGCACAGCGCCACCTTGTGCGCGTTCACCACTTGGCGGCTTCATGCCTGGAGGTGACCATCCCTCCAGCCTGCTGAAGCACTTGAACCAAGGATGCCCGACCTTCTTGCAGTACCAGCAGGTGCCCTCCATTCTGGTACTCCCCCTGCCACTGGAGCTCCCATGCCCCTCATTATAGTCACCTCGGCCTCTACCTCTGCCAAAGCTTCTCCCACGGCCTCGGCCTTTCCAACCCCCTCTTCCTCTGCCGCGCCCTGCAGCTCCATACCCCTCAGCAGTCTTAGTGGCAGCACCGCCTCCCACATGGCGTCTGCGGAAGTCCTCCTGCAGAATCTGCTGCCTTAGCCACTCAGGTGTCCATTGATCTTGCTGAGAGTTGAGGGTGGGGATGAGGTTATCCCACGAGTTGTCCAACACCGAGATGATCTTGGTGCACTGCTGCAGCTGAGATACACTGCTGCCCGCTGCTGCCATCCTTGCATAGGTGTCCTTGATCTTGTCAAGGACCGGCTTCACATCGTCCCCTGGTCGCATGGAGATGGCAGCAAGTTCCTTCTCGAGCACGATCACCATCGGGAGAGTGTTGGGCTGAATCACATCGCGTAGTAGTTTCCACGCCCTTGGACCCGAATCATCCGCTTCCACAAGATCCTTGATGTGCTCGAACATCTCCTTGTTGACCGATTGAAGGATGAGGTCGAAAAGCACCGCGCTTTTCTCAATCCACCGTTCGCGTGCTTCGCCTTCTTCCGGCATCTTCTCTTCCCCAACAGCAATCTTCAGTAGCTTGTAGCGTTTGAAGGCACTCCTCATCCGTCCGCTCCATTCCTCATAGTTGGAGCCATCCAAAGCTTCAACTTTTGATGGCGGCGGCTCACTTGTCTTCTCAGCTACAGCTCCTCTTCCATTAGCATCTCCTCCTCTCTCATTCATCTTCTCCTTGAGAAATGACGAATTTCAGCCCCCCTTTGCTGTCCACACTCAGCTCCCTCGATATTTTCACAAGTGTCGGCGTCCACGAAATTTCGGCAGAGTTTCCCCTTAGCGGAAGACACATCCAACCTTTAGAACACCACTTAGGCACACCCACAGGCCATGGTGGGTCTAGAAGGGTCTTCACACTTCTGTAGACTCCTCTCAATGTCCTTAATATCGCTCTGATACCACTTGTTAGGATTAAGGACAGAGTCTAGGTGAACTTAGGAGCTAGAATTACTCAAAATATAAATCCGAAATTCTGGACAGAAAAGTCGTCTTCACAAGAAACGACGTCGACAAAACACTAGCCGTTGGAATGTCGCGAAACTTGGATATGTTGTAGCTCTTGATCTCAGCTACCGTTCCCAATTTGAATCACGTTGATTGATGAAGTATTCGCGACGCTATGGCTTTCGACGCACTAGGGGGTAAGCTGTAGGAGGAGAACTTAACTCAATCTCAAGAGTTCAATCAAAGTTCAAGAATCTCACAAGGAATTAGAAGGAGCAAGAGAAAGGTTGGGATAGGAAGAGAGGGATGAGAGGGAAGGTCCCAAGAGAGTCCCCAACCAAGGAAACCCCATAAGCACAAAGATTCCCTCCCTATAGGAACCCCAACTTTGACATTTGTCCCTTCCCAACCAATCCATCCAAGTTGGCCACCCTTGCCAACCTAGCTTGGTTGTTCCCAACCAATTTGCAGCTGTTACAGTGAGTGACAAATTTCCCAAACCCCCAAAGGTCCCAACTCCATATAGAGTCACCCCACAACTTCACTTTGTAACCGCCGCAATTGTAACGCAAGCTCATGAACTTTGAATCTTCATAGCTTTCGCGTTCTTGCTCCGATTGAAGGGATTCTCGTTGCGTCGGAAAGATCTTCTCAAGATCTATCATCACAAAAAACCTGCTCAAACAAAATAACACAAAACACATTCCCAAACTCCAGAACACATCACACACAAATTCTTGCACACGTTCAAACCACACATGCAAGTTGAAAAAATATGGGATGGGAGGCAGACAGAATGTGATAGCATATGATGACATCACACAACACCCCTATCTTGCTGAATCCCCCCTGCCTTGCTGAATCCCCCCATCCATGTTGAATCAACCCTACCTTGCTGAATTCTCGCTACCTTGCTGAATCCCCGCTACCTCCTTAATCACCCCTACCTTACTGAATTCTCCCTATCTTTCTTATTCATCCCTACCTTGCTGAATCTCCCCTACCTTTCTGAATCACCCCTACCTCAATTATTCATCCCTACCTTGCTGAATTCCCACTACGTTGCTTAATCAACCCTAACTTGCTGAGTCACCCCTATCTTGCTTAATCATCCCTACCTTGCTGCATTCCCACTACCTTGCTCAATTTTCCCTTTGTTTTCTAATCACTCCTACCTTGCATAATGACACCTACCTTCATTAATCACCCCTATATTGCTTAATCTACCCTACCTTGCTGAGTTCTCTCTATCTTGCTGAATCCATCCTCCATTGCTGAATCAACCCTACCTTGCTTAATCAACCCTACCTTGCTCAATCAATCCTACCTTGCAGAATTCCCACCCCCTTGCTGAATTCCCTCTACCTTGCTTTATTACCCCTTTCTTGCTTAATCACCCCTTTCTTGCTGAATCCCCCCTCCCTTGCTGAATATCCCCTTCCTTGGTTAATCAACCCTACCTACTCCCTTTCTTGCTGAATCCCCACTCTCTTTCTTAGTCACCCTTACCTTGATTAATCATCCCTATGATGCTTAATCATTCCTACCTTGCTGAAGTGTCCCTTTCTTGCTGAATCATCCCTCCCTTTCTTAATCACCCCTACCTTGCTTAATCATCCCTACCTTGCTAAATCACTCCTACCTTGCTTAATCACCCCCAACTTACTTAATCACCCCTACCTTTCTGAATTCCCACCCTCTCACTTAATTCCCTCTTCCTGGCCTAGACATCCCTAAATGGATTGATCATCCCTAACTTACAGAGTAACCGTTACATTGCTGAATCCCCCCTTCCTTGCTGAATCATCATAATCACCCCAAAATTGCTCCATTCCCCCTATCTCGTTGAATTTTCCCTTCCTTGCTGAGTTCTCTTTATCTAGCTGAATCCCCCTCCCTTCCTGAATCACCCTACCAATATTAATCATCCCTACCTTGTTGAATTCCCACTACGTTGCTTGATCAAGCCTACCTTGCTGAATCACCCCTACCTTGCTGAATTCTCACTTCCTTGTTTACTCATTCCTACCTTGATTAATGATCCCAACCCTGAATAATCACCCCTATATTGCTTAATTACCCGAAAATTGCAGAATTGCCGATTTCTGCTTAATCCCGCCTCCCTTGCTGAATCACCCCTACCTTGCTTAATCAACCCTACCTTGCTTAATCACCCTTGCCTTGCTGAACACCCCCATCCGTGTTGAATCAACCCTACCTTGCTGAATTCCCCCTACCTTGCTGAATTCTCGCTACCTTGCTGAATCCCCACTACCTCCTTAATCACCCCTACCTTGCTGAATTCTCCCTATCTTGCTGAGTCATCCCTACCTTGCTGAATCTCCCTACCTTGCTGTGTTCTCTTCACCTTGCTGAATCTCCCCTACCTTTCTGAATATCCCCTACCTTTCTGAATAACCCCTACCTTTATTCATCATCCCTACCTTGCTGAATTACCACTACGTTGCTTAATCAACCCTAACTTGCTGAATCACCCCTACCTTGCTTAATCATCCCTACCTTGCCGCATTCCCACTACCTTGCTCAATTTCCCCTTACTTTACTAATCACTCCTACCATGCATAATGACCCCTACCTTGATTAATCACCCCTATATTGCTTAATCACCAGAAAAATGCAGAATTCCCCTTATCTAGCTGAATATACCCTACCTTACTGAATCCCCTATCTTAATCACCCCTAGCTTGCTGAATTCCACCTCTCTTGCTGAATCCCCCCTACCAGGCAGAATTTTCCCTATCTAGTTGCATCTCCCCTACCTTGCCGAATTTCCACTCCCTTGCTCAATCACCCCTGCCTTGCTCAATCACCCCTACCTTGTTTAATCACCCACAACTTGGTGAATCCCCACTACCTTGCTGAATCCACACTTCCTTGTTGAATCACCCCTACCTTGCTGAATCCCTTCTACCATGCTGAATTCTCCCTATCTTGCTGAATTCCCACTACCTTGCTTAATCACCCCTACCTTGACCAATTCTCTATATCTTGCAAAATCATCCCTCCCTTTCTTAATCATCCCTACCTTGCCTAATCACCCCTACCTGGCTTAATCACTCCTACCCTGCATAATCACCCCTACCTTACTCAATCACCACTACCTTTATTAAACACCCCTTCCTTGCCTAATCGCCCTTGTCTTGCTGAATCCTCCCTGCCTTGCTGAATCGCCCCTTCCTTGTTGAATCACCCCTACCTTGCTAAATCCCCCCCACCTTGCTGAGTTCTCCCTACCTTGCCAGATCCCCCCTACCTTGCTGAATTCTCCCTATATTGCCGAATTCCCCCTACCGTGCCTAAGCACCCCTTCCTTGCCAAATTTCCCCTACCTTCCTGAATTCCCATTACCTTGCTGAATTCCCCCTAGCTTGTTTAAGCACTCCGACCTTGCTCACTCTCCCATACCTTGATTCATAATCCCTACCTAGCAATAATCACCCCTACCTTGCTGAATTCCCCCTCTCTTGCTGAATCCTGCCTACCTTGCTGAATTTTCCCTATCTCGCTGAATCTTCCCTACCTTGCTGAGTTTCCACAACCTTGCTTAATCACCCCTACCCTGCTCAATCACCCCTTCCATTATTGTTCACCCGAACCTTGCTGAATTCTCCCTATCTTGCTGAATCATCCCTCCCTTTCTTAATCACCCCTACATTGCGTAATCACTCATTTATTGCTAAATCATCCCTACTTTGCTGAGTCCCCACTACATTGCTGAATCTCGTCTACCTTTTTGGACCCCCCCTTCCTTGCTTAATCACCCCTAAATTGCTCCATTTCCCCTATCTTGCTGAATCTCCTCCCCTACCTTGCGGAATTACCACTACGTTGCCTAATCAACCCTACGTTGCTGAATCACCCCTACCTTGCTTAATCACCCCTACACTGCTGAATCCCCCCTCCCTTGTTTAATCAGCCCTACCTTGCTTAATGAACCATACCTTTATTAATCACCCCTACATTGCATAATCACCCAAAAATTGCATAATTCCCCATATCTTGCTGAATCTCCCTTACCTTGCTGAGTTCTCTCTTTCTTGATCAATCCCCCTCACTTGCTGAATCACCCCTACCTTGCTTAATCAACCCTTTCTTGCTGAATTCCCCCATTCTTGCTCAATCACCCCAAACATATTTATCACCCCTATCTTGCTTAGTCGTCCCTACCTTGCTGCATCCCCCCTTCCTTGTTGAATCAACTCTACCTTGCTGAATCCCCCCAACCTTGCTCACTTCTCCATATCTTGGTGAATCCCTCCGACCTTGCTTAATCACCCCTACCCTGCTCAATTCTCCCAATCTTGCTGAATCATTCCTACCTTTCTTAATCACCCCTGCCTTGCATAATCACCCCTTCCTTGCTGAATCACACCTGCCTTGCTTTATCACCCCTGCCTTGATTAATCACCCCTACCATGCAGAATTCTCAACCCCTTGCTGAATTCCCTCTACCCTGCTTAATCACCCCTTCCTTGCATAATCACCCCTACCTTGCTGAATCCCCCCTCCCTTGTTGAATCAACCCTACCTTGCTGAATCCCCCTACCTTAATGAATTCTCCCTATCTTGCTGAGTCCAACCTACCTTGCTAAATAACCCCTATCTTGCTGAATTCTCCCTATCTTACTGAATCATGCCTACCTTTATTAATCACCCCTACCTTGCTTAATCACCCTTTCCTTGCTTAATCACCCCAGCCTTTCTCAATCACCCCTATCTTGCTGAATCCCCCCTCCCTTGATTAATCACCCCTATCTTCTACCTATCTTGCTGAATTCTCCCTGTCTTGCTGAATCATCCCTCCCTTTCTTAATCACCCCTACATTGCTTAATCACCCCTTTATTGCTAAATCACCCCTACTTTGCTGAATCACCCCTACCTTGCCAAATCACCCCTACCTTGCTGCATTCCGACCCCCTTGCTGAATTCCCTCTTCCTTGCT